TTTACAAGTTAACCTGTGAGTGCCGACACAGTTACATAGGACAAACGGGGCGAAATATAAGAACAAGGTATCGAGAACACATAAGGGATTATAATAAGAAAAAACGAAAACCAGAGGCTGCAATAGAATCGAACTTCGCGAATCACATGATCAAAAATAAATGCACACCAATGAAGATTGGACAAACAACAGAACTTCTCCGTGTACAACATAAAGGACAAAGATTGAATATATTAGAAAATATGGAAATATATAAACAGAAGACCTTCAAAGGACAAATAATAAATGAGCAAATAAATACTGCATCGGACGTACTGTTTGAACCTCTAAAACTACTGTACAAGAAGAAGAATGACAACAAGAAAATATTAAGGACAGATATGGAAGGGAATACACCGACTGCAAAAACAAAGGGGGTAAAAATCACGGACTTCTACCTGCCGTCAAAAACGAGCCAAATTCGTTCCATAATACATCATACACCCACCCAGTCGGAAACAACAACAACCAAAAAGGAAATCCTTTTAATCTGTTGAAAAAACTGTAACATTCAAAAACGAGAGCTTTTAAAAAATTAACGGTTATAATTTTATTAAACATTAAGTTAGACCTCTAGCAATGCATCGGTGAAAACTGCATTCAAATCCATGCATTCGTTTTCGAGTGATGCGCGAACAAACATACAGACAGACAGACAGACAGACAGACAGACAGACAGACAGACAGACAGACAAAAATTCTAAAAATGGTTGATTTGGCTTCTGGTGCTTTAAAAAAGACCCCCCACATTAATTTTTCTTTAATATCTATAATGTACAGACATCGACCTGTTACAATTTTATTATATGTATAGATAAGAAAAACAATAACTTTTAATACATTTAAAATAAAAGAATATAAACAGCTGAAATATTTAAATTACATTTCAGGTTCATAATTTGTCCTTAAATTTAGTACAACCAAAAACATTTTTTTTTTTTAAGAAATCTTTAGTTCTTACAATATCAGAGATTACAGGAATTTCTAGTTTACTTCTTATTTTATTTAAATTGATTCAGCAAAATATTCTTTACGCATTCGTTGTGTCGATTAAAAAGGACAGCTGGCACCATATGGTTCAAGAGAATAAATGCCGCTCCTTCATGCCCTATTTTACCCCCCTTTTATTAGCTCGGGATGTAAGTACGTATTATTGTTGCACCTAAAATATGCAGCGATTTATATTCTCAAGTTACATACCTGATGACAGTACGAATGGAAATTATAATAGCGAGGTTTTAGTTTTTTTTTAAACTATAATTTTATTATTTATCTTAAAAATTACTTCCAAACAAAACCGTAATAAAACTTTTATTTTATTTATTCAAATTTAAATTTCGAAAAAAACTGTAATTTTTAATAGAATGTATTTTAAGAAACTGTTTCCTAAAAAGCTGTATTTTACAGTTAAAACTGTTTGAGATCTGGCAACATTGTTGACACCACTGCTTTTTTCTTGCAACAGAAAGAGTTTCGGTTTCAACAACTATGGCAGTACGCTGATGTTAGAAGAAACCTTTCGAACCAGGTCCTACGGAATCGTAATGCGTACCCGTAACCGCTCAGCTACAGCTGCAGCTACATATGCATACCCTGATGTTTTGACGAGATTATATCTTTTTTTTTAATTATCGTCGATGTTTTTGCAAAACCGTCCATCGACCAGTTGCAAAACCGCCTACATCGCCGTTGTGGCAAAAGTGAGATTTGGTAACCCTAAACTCCGCATCGATATTTATGCATTGTCAAATCGTGATTAACACAACAGATTTGTAAAATAATAGCTAGAGAAAATACCGCCTTTCAAGGCAATGTCTTCAAAGAAAAATCTTTTTTTCGCTCTCCTGTATAATTCGAGTGCCGTAAGATAGGCGGTTTTGCAATTGGGCGATGGCGGTTTTGCAAAAACATTGACGGTATAGTTCATCTCACTGCAAAAACCACAATTCCTTTTTTTATACAGAACTCGGAGAAAACGTAAGAAATTTTCATCGCAATTTTTTCCGATTTTACACACGCTGAGCAAAAACAAAAGACTTAAGCAACGAACTAGAATTTTTTATTTTTTTGCGGAATAACTAAATTTGCTTTCCCTGACATTTTGATGATTTTGTTTGTGTTCATGCGTTATATGAAAGAAAATGCGCAACAGCCTGGGCAAACAAAATTCTCAAAAATCAGCAATAAATTTTTCGACTTGAAACTTGCACTTTATCATACTAAAATTGAATGGGCTACAAAACTGCATACTCAAAATTGAAAATTTTTGATGAAAATTTCTTGGTATGTCTTGTAATTTTCCCCTGCTCTTTAAGCATTAATTAAACAAATTATTTGTAAGTTTTATTGCGGCATATTCATGTATATTTCAATAGCGTTATCGAGCTTTGTAGCACGATTTATTTTTTATAAAAAATGGAAAAGACAACAAAGTCTAAGCGGTAGAAGTTATAGCTGCCGCTTCGGAGATCACCACAGCTCCTCATCAGACTTCTTTTTAGAGACTTCAGGGCTTCGATGATGCGAAACGAAAAACGATACAAATTACAAAAAATTCGAAAGTTACTCGAAATTTGGCAGGAGTCAAACGGACCTCAGATTCCGCGGATCGAAATACATGTCGATAGGTGGATCTGGTTAAATACACCGCCCACTTTCTTTTTGTACCGGCGTTGTTATTGCATAACCAGAAGAGCGACTATACCCCATTGCACCCAGTAGGTACCATTACCATTACCAATATTACCATTACTATTTTAATAATTTTATACTACACCTTTTCAGTTTTAGTACAGAAAGTTGCAATTCATATTCAGAAATTCCATTTCAAATTCAGATAGTTACAATTCAAGTTCAGAATTTCCATTTCAAATTCAGGATTTTCAGTTCAAATTCAAAAAGTTACAATTCAAATCCAGAATTTTCATTTTAAATTCAGAAAGTTACAATTTAAGTTCAGGCAATTTCAAATTAAGTTCAGAAAACTTTTTATACCTTGCATTCAATGGAAAAATACATATGTATATATTAAATTTTCTGAATATAAATTGTAACTTTCTAAATTTGAAATGAAAGTTTCTGAATTTGAAATGGAAATTCTGAATTTGAAATTTAATTTTGTGAATTTTAATTGCAACATTATGAATTCAAAATGGAAATTCTGAATTCGAGCTGCAACTTTCTGAATTTAAAATGGAAATTCTGAATTTGAATTGCAGCTTTCTTAATTTAAAATGGAAATTCTGAATTTGAATTGCAACTTTCTGAATTTGATATGAAAATTCTGAATTTGAAATGGAAATTCTGAACTTGAATTGTAACTTTCTGAATTTAAATTGCAACTTTCTGAACTAAAACTGAAAAAGGTGTAGTAGTTAACTCGAACAGAACATAAGATAACTCATAGAATAATTCATTCATTGGAAAATGTTCGCCGGTGCCTGATACCTAAAAAGCAAATGTTGCTTGATCGTTTGATCTTCATTGTTATGGGTATAGTTTTTGTTGGTTTAAAGTATGTACACAAAGTCCTTTACAGCTTTGAAGTTATAACTGTCTGTCAATCGTAAAATATGTGGCTTTGTTTTTCCAGGAAGAAGGTCCTAGAATAATGGCTGACGAGGTTAAGAGCATCTCCACGATTTTTTTTTTACAAGTAAAACGTTTAGTAGTCTTCCGCGCAATTTCTGGTGTGCGACCGGATGTTTTTACACAAATTTAGTAAACTACAGTTTCACACAAATGCCTTGGCACTAGGGTTTGCGACCACTTCAAAAATATTTCTTCTTCACGAAAGAGGTTCTGGCACCAAACTTTACATTTCTAAGCACAAATTTAGACGATGCTCATCAAATATTCATATTTTAGAAGTATTTTGTACATACATATATTAGCCAAACAATTGGTTAAGCAATCTAAGAGAATTTCAAATTTAAATTAGCAGTTATCATGGCAACAGTAGCTTTTCGTAAAAAAAATCACCAATATTTGTTAGTTTCAAAGCTATTGACTAGGCATTTTAGTTCATTGGGCACCCTGTTCAATATCCGGTTAACACAAATCGGAGGTAGAAGCTCCGGTTAAATACAACGACTGCTTTATCGATCACATGTTATATGCATGATGTTGAAATCGTCGATAACGATGTTTAACTGGGAGGTAGTGATAATTAGACGTTAAACAACCGAACCTAAAAAGAAAAAAACATTACAAATGCCTAAAGGAAACAACTAGGGGAGAGCTTTGGCATTTTCTACGATGACATTTTTTCCCCTATACAAAACTTGGACCACTCCAATGTACATATTGATAACTCCTACTTCAATCTCTAATTAATTTGCGTGTGAATATTCCCGTATTAACATATCGCTAGCTTAGAGTGAAAACTCATGTATTTTAACACAGGAGGCTAGAGAAATTAAGAATGAGTCGATTTGAAAAACGTAAAAGTCCTTTTTTATGTTTACTCGTTTATATTCAATGAAAGTGAAATTTGCTAAGTCCACAAAAGTTTCGAAAATGCAATAAGGCTAAAATAGGTCGAAATCTTTTAATAAAGATCGAAACCCTCTGATTCTTATGGTACATAAAAAGTATATCGTTGATATCAAATGTAGAGCTTATTTTTTCTCAAATGAAAACATTAATTTATTCATATATCTGGTCACACTCCACATAGGAATGTATCTGAAACGTATGTCGATTTGCTTTCCAGTGTGGTGTGTCGCTGAGATAACTAAATATTAAAGTACATAGATACTCTGTACTATAGGATTAACTAAAGTGTGGGCGAGAATATATTGCCAGGGGAAAAAAATAAAAATTATTTAAAGCCATACATAGAAGACGCTCTCTATAAGAGTAAGCTTTTTCTTGATAATTTTAAAATATTTCCTTTTGTGCTTAAAAGAGGTGAGAAAAAGTACTCGACTCGTATTTACAAACAAGCTGGCAGCATGGCACGGTAAAAATGTATTTGCTCGCATTCAATTTGTTGGCTTGCTCTGAGCGCTCAAGTGATTGATCTTTGCAGATATTTTCAGTGAAAACTTTAAGTGTAAAGTGAAAATTTAATAGTAAAATACTAAAAAAATATATTTTACTTAACATTAAGAAATTAGTTTGCATAATAGATTCAGTTTATGGAAGGATTAAAGACATATTTTGATATACCAACGAATGGCTTTGTTTGTTTGCGTAGACATAGCAGAAAACCAAAACCGGAAGCAATATTAAAATTGAGAGAGTGAGAGCGGAAAAAAATAAATAAATAAAAAATAAAAACATCTTCGTATGTATTTTACATTTCACTAAGTCGCTAGTGTATGCGTATGCGTGCATCTGTGAGTGTGGGAAATTAAATTGTCACAATACAAATTTCTTAGTTGCAAAGTCGCCGATCGTGCGTGAGTTGGAACCAGAGAGAGAGAGAGAGAGATCTGGAAACTCTACGCCTATGTTAGTGCGTTCTATGTGGCAGATACTTCATTACTACAAATGTATGTACATGTAAGTAAAATGTAGATAGTACAGCACTTATGGATGTATTTAGTAGGTAAACGATGTCAAGCATCTGCCAAAGAAAATTTGTATTTTGTGTAACTAAAAGCAAGTGAAGTGAAAAAGTAGATAGTAATAGCTATTGGTGACAGTGGAAAGTAATCATTTCTAACATACTATGTAGTTTCTAAATGCATGCTGATGTAAACTAAAGGATTTTCAAAAAAAAAAAAAAAACAATTGTGATGTTGCAAAAAAGCATACATACAATAGCAAGATATATATGAGTACACCAACATTTGTACATACATATGTATGTACATATAAATGTCAATTGCCCAACGAAACATACCAAGTTTNCAATTGTGATGTTGCAAAAAAGCATACATACAATAGCAAGATATATATGAGTACACCAACATTTGTACATATATATGTATGTACATATAAATGTCAATTGCCCAACGAAACATACCAAGTTTAGATAAGGTGCAAATTGTCATAGTGCCATTTTCTCAATTAGGTTTTAAAAATTAACTGCCCTTCAAACGGCTCATAGCGTGTATAAATATGTACATATCTACTTACATACAAACATATGTATGCCTAAAACAAAACAAGTTTATCAGATCTTTCATTCAAATTTTAACCAGATTCAACATATGTAAATGTTAATAAAAATGTACAGTGCAACTAACGAAAAGAAGTTTAATACGTATGAATGTGTGTCATTTTAAAAAAAGTTTAATAAAACAAACGAAAACTCAATGCTACTTTCCAAATCACCTTAAATTGTTAGTGCTCTCACATCGAAGAAGCCGCTGCAATCGGCAGAGAAAATATATTATCAGTGCTTCTTTTTTAATGCGTGTTATACGAAATTAGATCCATTGACAAGATTTCTAATATTTTGTTACTGGCTTTGAGCGTGTAGCCGCATACGTCGTTGTATAGGTTTTTATACACGTACATATGTACATTAGGGTGGTTCTTAAAAGTAGGAAGCAAATCTTTACATCAGATTTCCTAAGCCTCAACTACTACGTCGATGCTACTATAGTCAAGTCCCCATAGAGTAATCTTTACGACACGCCTTAACCAACTCCAATCGGGACCAAAATTTATAAGTGATATCTTCGACTATGGTAGTATCGATTTTTGGTATTAGATGAATAAAAATAACTTAAATTTTTTGAGTCTCTATGGGGGAATCTGTACTTTACCCCCTGTGCGACACGCCTTAACCGTCCCCAATCGGGACCAAAATTTATATTTGATATCTGGGACAGTGGTATTACCAATTGAGGGGTGAAACCGGAGCAAAATCGTTTACTTGATTTTTATGGACTACCCTAATGTACATATGTATGTTACTGCACCAACTTGGCGGTAAATCTGAAAGCTGAAATGCTTTTATCGGCGACGAAAATCTAATGACATTTCATATACGATGTAAAAGTATATACATATGTAAGTACATATGTACATGCCGCCTTAAAGTTGCACGACAACTTTAGTAGACGTTCACTGAAGTGTAACACTTTTCCTTTTGATAGTAATATGTAGGTACATAAGTATGTATAATTTACGAAGACTCATATATATATATATATATATATATATGTATGTAGCTACTATACATACTGACATGTGTATATATGTACATTAGATAACATCACTCCCCAAACAAACAAAAAATCGGTACTGTCCATTGGAATTATAAAATCTATTGTATTTTAAGACTTTCACCAAAATATTTCACAACAATATTAAGATTTGAAAATACCTCTAAAAATTGAGTTTTTTTATGAATTAAATTAATTTCTTAAATATGTTAAAAATCCCCTCAAATGACAAAACGGCTTAAGCTTAAAAAATTGCATAAAAATATATAAAAAAAAAATATAAAAAAATTTTTACGGAATCGATATAATGAGATTTTTGATGCTGTTTTTTTAACTTTTTTCAAAGATTGATCTGCGCTTCCGCTGAAATATTTCGGAAAAGCAATAAGAAATACCTTCAAAAAAATTTTGTTTTAAAAATATTTTTCCAAAAAATCTCCTCAAATTATAGAAGAGTTTAAGCTGAAAAGGCCTGCATACAAATTTTTTAAATTTTTACAACAGAATCAAAATAATGAGATTTTTTTATTTATGTATTTTCAAATCGTTCCAGCTCGCATAAACCTTAGTACTCTACCGAAATGTTTTGGCGAATCTCTTAATATATGTATATTCAATTTTATAGTTCAGGTGGAAAAACCGCAACTTTTTGCTGTACAGTGACTCAAACAAATGACCACTTGATTTTTTTTTACATTCGTAATGTCAGGCTAAATTATTTTTTATTATTTTTCCTTTAAGGCCCCGGGCCTAGACGACATAATACCAACCCAACTGCAGAAGTCTCCGTAAGTGTCGTGCAGCTGTTTGATGTCTATTTTCAAGGGCTGTTTGGCTAAGAGTCATGTTCCGGAGCTTTGGAGGGTAGTCAGAGTGGTGTTCATTCCCAAGGCGGGTAAAACTTCTCATGTATTGTCCAGGGACTTCAGGCCAACTAGTCTGTCTTCGTTTTTTTGAAGACGCTGGAGAGGCTGATCGAACTGCACTTAATGATCGGGATCCTCAGAGATCGCCTTTCCTTGGATCAGCATGCTTACTGCAAGGGCATGCTACTGGAAGGGAGAGAATTTTGATATCGAGGGGGGCTTTTAATAATGTTTTGCCAGAGGCTGTAGTTAACGCCCTAAATAAGCTAGAGGTCGGAGCCGGCCTTGTCTGGTTTATTTACCGCCTGCTTTGCAACAGAACTGTCGCGGCAGAGTGGGGCAGCACTTCAATCCAAAAATGTGTGAACGGTAGGGATGCAAACGATGCATCGATATTTTTGAATCATCGATAATATCGGTTCAAATTTCGATGTTTGCCATCGATGTTTACAATTTCCTAAAATCGCTAAATTGACGATACATCGATGCCAGTTTCCGAGATGTTTTAACATCAACTTATGCTCCTAAAATTTTTTGGCTGGCCATGAATTTTAATACTTATTTTTTTGAGGAACATTCAGAAATTCCGAGTTTACTCTTATCTTTCGATATTAAAAATGCTTACTTATGGCGTTTTCTTTTCTACCGAAAAATGTTGCCTTCTCAGTGCCCGCTACGCATAAACACTAAGAAGAGGGCGATGAGAAGGCAACATTTGGACCGGGTTCCCGTTGAAATTTCAACGAAATTGGTACTTGGAACTCTAGGCTCAGTGAACTTACGACGGCATGCATTTCTATTTTATTTATAGGAAGGGTAAAGGAATGGTAAATAAATAAAGGGAATAATAGAATTACAGAGAGTTGGAATTGAAAAGTATTAATTTTTTTTTTAATGTGACTACAAGCTAACAAATTTTGAAACATCGGAAACCATCGATATATCGATGTTTTTCTGGCGATGTTTTTTAGCATCGATGTTAATTTTTCCGATGCATCGAGACATCGATGTATCGATGTTACTCCGCAAAATTTGCATCCCTAGTGAGCGGAGATGTACCCCGGAGGAGTTCTGTCGCCGTTGCTTTGGGTCGTTGCCATCAATGATCTGTTAGTGGCTTTGGAAAGAAGTGGCTGTCGGGTGGTTGCCTATGCTGATGATGTAGTATTGATAACAAATGGAAAGTTTCCGGAAACTTTCAACTTATGCAGGGTTACCTGAGCTTAGTTGAGAACTGGACTTATAGTTGCGGGCGGGTGTAAATCCCGGTAAAATGGAGCTTGTTTTTTTACTAGGAGGTATATAATACCGAATTGCCGTCTTCCCTCAACGGGTGGTCTTTTTCTAAGGTTCTCTTACAGGGCGAAGTACTTGGGCTTGGTCTTTGACAGCTTTCCCGGAAGCTTTCGTAGAGGAAAGAGTCAAGAACGCCTCAATACTGTTGTAGAGGGGCCATTGGCAAAGCCAATTTTATTATATAGGGTGCTCATCGGGTGGAACACACTAACACGCTTAATGAGAAGGTTGGTGGATGTGTCTTCTGCGCAGAACTCTCCATCAACCTGATCACTGAAACGTTTTCCAGGCTGAGGTGGCCGCGACAAAAGAGGCTTCGGATTGGTTGCTCTTTAGTGTAACACATTTTAAGGAGGTGAATATTTAGCCAAGTAGCTATCAGGGCTCTTGGCTTCCTGACGGCGCATTCGAGAAAGGTGAAGGAGTGTTTGACTTCCCTATCGACCGCATCTGATTACTTCGTTATGAAGCTTATTTGGGTTTCAGGTCTCAGCGAAATCACTGGCAGCTACATGGCCGACGAGCTCGTAAGACAAGAAACACTCGAGGAATTACTTCCGGATAGGGAAGGTCTGGATGTTCCCCTGACCTCGGGTGGTCTGCTTCGGAACAGATGAGCGTTTAGTCAGCTCAAAGAGCGCTGGGCGAAGACCCTGGAATGCAAGGTAGCAAAATCCTTCTGGCCACGGGTAGACCGCTTGTCTCACGATTGGTGGGAGGACTTACTGGTCACTGTGTGATTGGTAATCATGCCGAAGGCTGAACGTCATTGATAACCCTTACTGCACCAGCTGCTTGGAGGATGATGAGGTGGAATCATCTCCACACCTGCTGCTCTGCCTTTGCGAGCCTAAGGTTTAAGCACCTTGGGTCGAACTATTTTCGCACTCGCGAGAGCTCTCGGGAATGGACATTAGTCCTACAAAAAGTCATAAGTGTCCTCATTCTCCCTTAGCTTCCCCTTTATTCCCCAAATTTATTAACCAAAACCATAAAAATCACAGTTTCAAACTTTATACAAAGTTTAGGAAAATTTAAAAAATTTTCGCCAAAATTTCAACTTTTTAATCTGAATCTTTTGAACATTTTGTCTGCATTTTGTATGTTCAAGTTTCAACCGGCTAAAAATTCGCGTTGATTTTTGACATTTTTTTTTTAGACTGGTTCGGGGCTGTTTTAACCGACTTCCAAAAAAGGAGGAGGTTATCAGTTAATCGGAATATTTTTTTTTTGATGTATGTTACTGCATAACTTTGAACCACGTCAACCGATTTCGATAATTCTTCGGATCGGAAAGGTAGTGTCTCAGAGGTGATCCCGTATTAATCTGGTTTAGATCCGATCATTGAATCTTTTTTTTTTCATATGAGAATTGAAGTCGGTTATGTTCTTTGCGTAAAAATTACTTGTATATATAAGAAGTGAAATTTACAAAAACTGGTGTGGATTTTTTTTAAATGTTGTTGCTTATACTGAAAAAAGTGCAATAGATGTCAATTGCCTTAGAAGGTAAAAAGATAGCATTCTTTACTGGATTCGGCCAAAATCGCTTAACCTTCTGCTGTGCCAATCAATAAGGGAAGAAGACAGATATTTTAAGTTTGCTATGGCGTATCTTGAAAATGTGTATGTAATAGTTACCAAATTTTCGAAGATTCCCCTCTTTCTGACTACTTACTTAGACCTGTTTTTCCCTAATTGGGTCATAAAAGCCATCTTACCTACTGACTCTTCGCTTTCGCAAGATGGTGAGTAGTTAATATGTTTTTCTATTTTACTCGCTCTCTACCTTTAAAAAATACAATAAAATCATACTGAAGTGACGCTTGAGGCGAGGTTTGAAATTTGCATTTACGCCAATGTTGTACTAATTTTCGTTGCGACATTCCAAATTTATTTCTTAATTTGTTTGCATTCATTCGTGCTTTATGTGTTTGAAATTGGTACTAAATGTTTATTTTGATAGTTATTTCAATTGCAAAGCGTGAAGCACATACAATTTTTATAAAATTTAACTTTAGCAAACTTACATGGCCATTAATTTACATTCTTACACACATATATTTACAGTGAATGAAATGGCATTATACATACTTATGTACATTAAAATAAATTTAGGAAATAAAATGTTGAAAAAAAAAATAACTCTAGTCTAAATTCAGGTGTTGGTTGAGGAGGTCACAGTGAAATATATACATATGTAAGTACATATTTATAGACTACTTATAAGTTCAAGTACTTGACGAACCTGAACAGTTCGAAGATACATTTCCCTAATGTCGCACAAGGGTCCCATATAGCAAAAAAAAACTGGCCAAAAATCAAGACCAAGTTGAAACTAATTACAAATTTGATGCCAGATTTTAAAAACTCGAATTAGCGTATCCAATATGACGGACTGAATACTCAAAATATCATTTAATCTCAACAAAAATTAAAACTTGGGGGGTTACTTAATGACATAGGATAAAAATCATCGAAGCTAAACAATTTCAGTAGAAATACGGCTTTAAATTCATATGTGTGTATGTACCTGACGTTCAGAAGTTTTTAGCAGTCAATATTTACTCAAAATTGATATATACAATTGCTCTTTAGCGAAAATTTGGTTTTTCATAGAATATTAGGAAAATGGGCGTGGTATATATCTCAAAAACTACTTCATTAATATAGACCAAATTTAGTGCAAACATTGCGCTTAGCTTCGTTAAGCACCATTGTTGAAAATTTTTGAAATCGGACGAAAACCACGTGCTCCACCCCCGTAACGGTGATTTCAAAAACGAAAACTAAGCTATATATAAGGGGTATTGGTTTAAAATAAAAGTAAACGCGCAGATACCCGCAGCTAAATTTTTTAATTTATGCTAAAGGCTCAACTACGAATAGTTCAATGGCAAGTCCAAAGTGGTACCTTTTTTTGTAGCTCAACAATTTAAAAATTTTCTACTAAAAGAAACATCATCTTTAATGTAGTATTTTAATAAATATCATAAACTTACTTGTTTAGATACCAACACGTTTTTAGAGTATTTATAAAGGATACAATGTTAATTTTTTAAAGTAAAATAAAACCAGCGATTCCCCATAAATCTAAATAATGAAAGATTTATATATAAAGTGTAATTTTCGTCCATCAAGGCTAGACTTTACTGCCCAATTGCTTACTTGTTGGCAAAAACGGATTTTCTATTGTTAATGATGATTCTCAAATAGACGAAGCTCTCGGCTATGGTCTATGGTAACCTCATCAGATCAACAGAATTTAGCATTTGTATTGGTTTGAACAAAAAAAGCGTAAGCCTGTAAGAAGATTGAACCCACTACACAGTGAGGAATTAGCGACAAATGTAGTTCAAAAACGACTTTTTCCAGCACTTGGGACAGATTTTAGAAAAGATTGCATAATCCTGATAAAAAAAAAAAATATATATATATATATGGGCATATTCATGGTGAAATATAAGTCACCATTAAGTAATTTACAGCTTTCTGACATAATTTTCAATGGAATATCTGTCAAAAACGTTGCAACTAACTTTAGAGACGACTTTATTTCGGCTATGAATCTACGCCATATATTTTTATAAGCATATGGTGAAAATTGGGACATTTTTTAAAAAAACCATCTATCTAAAAGTAATATTTTTCTTGATGACAAATTTCAGATTTTAAAGGTGTTAAAAATGTGGTTGAGGTCGTTGAATTAAATTCTCATGATAGAACACCGATTCAATTTGGAATTTGTCACTAAGAAAAATATTACTTCAACTCCGATGTTTTTTCTACGATAAAAATTATTATTTTTTAATTTGGGGTTAGACAATGTTTTGTAAAATCCGTTGCAAGTACTTAAAAAAACTTATTTAATTCGGAAAAAATGTACTCTTCCAGCCATGTTTGCACAAAATTAGTGGAAAATTTCCTACTGTACAAAGTCGCGCTCACCCTCGGAGGTGGCGCAAAATCGCACATCCTTTCATTTATGTAAAAATATCAATATGAACAACACAAATTGGAGTAGAACCTCGGCCAAACACTTAACAAAAGTTTAATTTCCAAATTTTTATTTTTTCCTAGTTTCCCTCACCCGCTTTACCTAGGTATGTAATTTCTACGTGTAGCGTTAGGTGTAAGTTATTTCAATAAAACTTCTTAAATGTCTTGCGCCTAACATTTGATACATATTTCAATTACCCGATGCCCTTAATTCAAATTAAATTTTGCTTTTTAAACCATTTCTATTGATGCCCATATTGTAATAATTCATTTAACTTATTAAATAATTTAAATAGGAATTTCTAAGTAGATGGCAACCGTCTTCAAACAGCTCAAAAATGTACTAAATGTTCAAACTGAACATTTTTTAACGCTATTTCGTTTGGCACGCTTATTCTAGTATATTTCAACTTGTGTATAATTTGAATAAATTTGACTTTTAAAACAGGTGGCAGCACTTCTCCAAATATTTTCAAACTACAACCTTCTTATAACTCTTACATATGGCACCCATATTGATATATATATTTTAATTACCTAATTTCCTTAATTCAAGTTGAATTCGTTTTTTTAAACAGTTGGCAACCCTCTCAAATGTTATTTGGCCTTTCTAAACCATTTTGATTGATAGCCATATTTTAATAGTTGACATAACTTAATAAATAATTTGAATTGAGTTTAATATTTTAATGGGTGGGAACCCTCTCTAAATCCCTAAAAAATATTTTAAATGTTCAAACATAAGATTTCTTTACATCTTTCGTCTGACACCCACATTGTAATAAAATATTTCAAATACTTAATTCCTTTAATTCAAGTTGAATTTTATTTTTTACATTTAGTTTGTATGTGAGGTGCCACGCTGCTCTCTCCGCTAACGTCCATTTTTATCCATGCGCATCTATGGTACCACGAATACCTCCAGAGATATGCAGTATGAAAACTCCCATTTGTATGGGATGTGACACGTCCCCTTGTCTAATCGAGATAAAGGCTGTCCTATAATATACGGCAGGCTAAGTGACACCAGTGTGCAAAATTTCACGATGCTCGCTTGAGTAGTTAAAGCGTAACGAACAAACGAACTAACTTTCACATTTGGGCAAATCCTAGCTTTGTGGAAGTTACGTTCGGAAGGTACTTTTAATTTATTATCGGCAAAAATGATAAGTTAAAAAATTGTTGTGTTAGAAGGTTTAAAGAAGTGATGTAATGTGGAACGATTTTCCGTCATCCCTTGTCAAATTTAGTTTGGAGACAAACCGATTTCGGCGTAACATCACACTCCTACCCTGTCGGAAACACCAACAGCGAAAATGAGAAGTTTAAAGACGTGTGAGAGCAAAATAATGGAAATTTTAATTTGAAATAATGGTGGTGTATTTGTATTCGAAATTTGTGTCCGGGCGTTACTGAAGCAAAAAGTAAGAGGGGCAAATCAGGTTTCTAAAATAAGTGTGAAATACGAAGTTGATATATATGGTACTATGCCATTTTTGATACAAAATTGCGAGAATTTGAATTGCATGCATTTTTCTATTTTTGGTTGACTATTTCTCGGATTTCCACAGTTATAAAATTAGTACGGATTTAATATGTGGTAATGTTGCTAAATCTAATTTTTCTCTCCTTTTATCAGAATTACTTAAAAATGTCTAAACCAGTGGAGGACTATTGGTAGGCATTGGGGTCAAGAATACCCATCCACAACGTAAACAAACGACGATTGCTTTGAAAGCAATGACTAAGACATCTAAGAAAATGTCTGGTATTACTAACAACAACAACAACAACAACAACATCAATACAAATAACAATACCATAAACAAACTGAGTGAAAAGTTTTTAAGTACAAATACAACAAAAAACATAGAAGTGTCTACTCTGCCAGCTGGTGCCAACACCACCACAACCAACAATAACAACGCCATCTCCCTTAATAACCCGAAATCACATAGCAACGACTGCGACAAAATAACACAACAGCAATTTTCTGCTGCGATTTCAAGCAAATTACAAGCCCCACAATCACGTCGCTCGCTCCCAGCTCCTAGCACAACGCAACGCTCACTCCAACAGCAACATCATCATCAGCAGCAGCAACAGCAACAGCAAAGCGTGACGACGAATTCCTCGGTTTTGCCATCAGCCAACACAATTACGAAATACTCAAGCAGCGCCACATTGCCTTCACACCAACTTCAAACCATTGCCACCGTACACCATCATCACTCGCAACAGCACGCGACGGAGGCAACTATCGCTCCCAGTGGTACTACAAAAGCCGCACAACCACAGCAGCACCATCCCACATCCTCGAATAACGTGAAGGATCATCATCACCACCATCAGCCGGCGACATCGAAGCATTTGAGTAGCGAAAGTGACGGCACAATTACCAGCGCACCTTTGTCCACTAATTCCGTCACCTTACAGCAACAGCGCAACGCATACAATCTGCAGGCGCTTAAGGCCGCCAATCATTTGAAGGCACCAGCTCACTCCATACCGCCGCGGTATCAGCCGCCACCCCAACCAGCTGGTAACCAGGCTGGCATATTGAAGCACATAAGTAATTTGCGTAGCAGCGGCGGCGGTGCTGAAAGTGTGGAAACCCTGCTTGGCCAACGTCCGTCCGCAGTTGGCAATAAGCATCACACCACGTCAAATTTCGATACAACGCACTTCAATCTTAAATATCCACCGGATATACCGCAACTGTCGCCTGTCTATATACCAGATTCACTGAAATTACCTGGTGGCAGCGGTCGCTACTTGCAAACGCATCAAACGCTTTCGCAGCGGCAACCCACACGACTAACAGGCAGTGTCGCGAATCCGCAATACTTTTACAACTCACATCAACAACAACAACAGCAGTATCGCCAGCAACAGGTGGAGCAGCAACAGCAGCAGCATCAACAAGATATGCTTAAGTTTGTGCGAAAAACTGATCAGGATCATCCATCGCCAAATGCTTCGATTACCTCGAGTGCAGCAGCCGTGCCAACGGGCGGCACTCGGCTCACGGCCGAACAAAATAGACAATTACAGGTATGTAAATGTTTATCTTTTCATAAGTAGATTTAGTAATTTTTTGTCGAAATTGACAAAAATCAAAGCGCTCCCAAAATTTCCGCCCAGGCTTGGAAGTACTTAGTTAGTCAGCCAATATCCTAAGTGCAGCTTGGCTGTCACTACAGACACTTAAACTCCTACCTCTTCACCAATATTCAGCCACATATTCCATGGCATACTGTTGAATATAGACTCCACATCCTGAAACTGAAACAATATGTAAGCCCGGGCCTAGAGGTTAAGCCGGCACTTAAAATTTTGCAATAGTATCTCTTCCGCGAAAGCAGTGATGGCTTACTTTCTGTGGCATCAAAAAGACATTAACGTCTAGATCTCTGTCTACAGTACCGCACCAAATTAGCACCTATTTCTTTCAAGTCTACACTTGGCCTTAAAGGTCACCCCGTGGATGAAGACAGTAGCTTTAGCAGTGCCACCAGAGAAGTCCCAGGTGTTCTAGTGAAAGCTCACATACAGCACATGGCAATCGTTCTTTGAAGTTTGGTAAGTAAATTGCCCAAGCTATTGATTGCGTGATCGCTACACCACCGCACAAATCCATAGGATTCCTCTGTTAATGAAGATCTGTTCATATTACCAGAATGCTGTCAAGGCTTTCGAAGTCTCAAGTAGACTTCCATAAAATTTTACTGCACACCTAAACTCTTAGCTTTAGTAGAAATCGAAATAATGCCGTAAATAGGGGTAGGAAAAAGACTCTTCAACCTTCTTCTAGGCATTTCACTTATTCTTCTTATACGGCGCTGTAATCGCCTAAGCGGTTTTTGGCCGAGGTCAACAAAGCGCGTCAGTTGTTTCTCTTCTGTGTCAACTGAGGCCAAATGGAAAGCCAGTGATGCCAGGTTGTGGGTAATTCCCCTATTTAAGGGATATTTTGCAGCAAAAATTATTAAAAGGGAAAAAAGGGACACATAAAATAAAAAAAGGATTTTCATTTAATGCAATTAATAATGAATAATGGATTGGCACTTACACATATGTTAGTGTTTGGCCGAGCTTCTCCTTCAACTTGTGGCGTGCGCCTTGATATTGTCACACAAAGCGGAGGGACCTACAGTTTTACGCCACCTCCGAACGGCGATTGTATTTTTATGAGAAGCTGTTTCTCATGGCATAAATACACTCGGAGGTTTGGCATTGCCTGTCGAGGGATGACCGCTCTAAATTTTTTGCTATGTTGCTTTGACCAGGGCTTGAACCCAGGTGCTGGTGAGTGAAAGCGCGTACTGCTTACCACTACACCACAGCGGCCGACTAATGACACTTACGTAATTAGTCGTTCTGAAAATGTTACGTTGAGTAAAATTATGTATAAGTATTAAAAATTGTAACTACAATTTTGAAATTTTTCTCCCTATAACCAATTCAAGCGCAGATTATGAAAGAATCTTTTCAATTGTAACCAAGGTGTATTAAACAAGGTGTGACTGACAACTCAAGTAGGCTCTCTTTTAAGGTACTATTATGCCAAAAAATATAAACAATCGATTGAAAATTCATACAAAATTGTTTCAATTTGACTTTATAAGATGGTTCTTCTGAGAGCAATGTCAAATTCAATCACACTTTGTTGAATACATTTTGATTGTAACCATGATAAAAATATTTATAAGGTAAAATCGCTGAGAGCCAACTTTAGGAATTTTGACGTTTGCTAGCATTTTTGAAAATTTCTCTCGCCGTCATTTCATTTGTTTGTTTTTATTTTCACTCGAACCAAAGAAATATATTTCTGTCGAAACAACGAAATTTGAATGTATGTACATACTAGGGCTGATGATTTCACCCGGGTAATGAGCTACCCGGGTACCCGGGTAGCGGGTGAAGCCCTACCCGGGTATTGAATTACTACCCGGGTAGACCGGGTACCCGGGCACCCGAAAAAATGTGGAGAGGTAAAAATTAAACGCATTTACGATTATATACCGCAAACGAACGTACATAGGGAACATCTATAAGAATCTTCCATACCATATGGGGAAATATTATAATATATATTCGTATCTAAAGGTATTAGCAATAATTTTACGATTGTAGAAGTATTAAACTGTAGGGAGCTAAAAAAATAATAATAATAACAGATAATTTCGTTTTTTATAAAATATGACTAGGTAAGAATGTTACTCATACGCCATGTATGTATGTACTATTAATGAAATCATAGGCATAACTATTTGTATCATGACGCATTTTCATTTGACCGTTTGCAACCTTATTTATCAATCAAGTCAATTATTTGGGAATCCATCTTGAACTCAGGTTTTCGTGGAAATTGCATATTAAAGCGAAAAAAGTCAACTTGCATTAAAACATTAAGAATGTACTGGGTGCTTGCTGCAAAATCTGAGCTGAGTTTAGAAAACAAAATCCTTCTGCACAAAGTTATGCTGAAGCCGGTTTGGACATACGCTATGTAACTATGGGGTACTGCGAGTAACTCAAACAGAAATACTACAGCGGTATCAAAAGAAGGCCCAAAGAAGTATTGTTAATGCTCCTTGGTATTTCACCAACTATGCCACTCACCAAGACCTCAAAATTTCATTTGTCAGGGAAGAAATCATCAGATTGACTCAGTGATAACACGATCTTTTTTGTTGTTACTATCATAACAAGTTTTAATAATTATGTATATAAAATAATTACATTATCATTACAACAAGTTTTTATTTTGATGCAAAAAGACTAGCAAGTTAACCGAATCGGGGGCCAAACACGATGCAATATTTCCTGCCGAGAGAAGAGTCTTTCGTGTTCGGAGGAAAAGTTGTTTCAGTGAGATCCACGGATGTTAATTCTAAGCCAGAGGAAAGCTGGACCATTTCAACTTCCAGGAAAAAAAAAAAAAAAAAAAAACAAGTTCGTGTCTTAAGTCTGTCGTTAACTTTATTTGCATACATAATTATCTTTCAGTTCTTTTTTTATTAACATTAATATTCAAACATTTCAAAGTAATGGAACGCTATGAGATAGTTCAGAGAAGATGTATTCCTTTTTCGTTCTCTATAACAAAGTTCCTGGGACTTTCGCTCCCAAATTGTTCTTCGAGAGTAAGTTCCTCAGAATTTTGTTCCCGTTTTTTTTCTTTGCCAAAACGTTCAGGAGAAATTTGTTAGCATTTTGTTTCTTAGAAATGTTCCCGAAAGTATTGTTCGCATTTTGTTCTCTCTGGGAACGTTCCACAGGGTTTAGTTCTTATATAATTCCCAATGAGAACGTTCTCGTCAGTTTTGTTCTCATTTTGGTTTTGGTTTTGACGCGTTCTTGGGAACAAAACTACCACAATGACATTTAGTTTCGATCATACATTTTGTTCTCGGTCCCTGTTTTAAATTATTAATATTTAATATTCTTTAAAATATACATACATACACACATAAGTACACATGCATGTATGTATATGCATTTACAAAAATTAGAAGTTTGAATTTAAGTACAGAAACTAATGTTTTAATTTACTTTTCTTGTCTCCGTCTACTCAGGCAAGCGGTTAGGTGTACATAGTCGCGTACATTCTAGACATAAAAAAATAATTATAAAAAAAAAATTTTCTCACAGAAAAAATATTTATCCTCACCAAAAAGATTATACAAGAAGCTTTATGTCGCATTACCCGGGTGTTTTTCGTTAACCGGAACCTACATATGTATATTACCCGGGTACCCGGGCAAATCGGGTAATAAAAGCCCCGGGTAACACCCGGGTAATCGGGTACCTGGGCACCCGGGTAATACCCGGCTAACCGGGTACCCGGGTATCATCAGCCCTAATACATACATACATACATATCGTCGTTTAAAGAGCAAAACCGCGTATCAACAAAATGCAAAACCGCGTATCAGCAAAATGCAGAACCGCGTATGTGAAGTTGTAAAAATTATTTTCTAGAGCGTAAAAACACTCATATTTCAAAATGGTTCTCTTTTTTATTAAGCAATCGCATTTCTGGCTAGTATATTTCAGGACGAATGGATAAGGATTTAGCCAAGAGCTTGTGTTAGCAAATCCAATTTTTGGCAGCCAATGTCAGTTACACGGTTTTGCAGAATGACGATACGCGGTTTTGTACTTTAAACGACGATATGTATGTACTAGGAATGTTAGTCCCGGTATTTTCGGGATTTATAATTTGCACGGATGGCAATAATAGAAACTCCTTTTCTTGACCAGTATTGCATATACACTGAGGGTAAAAAATGTTAAAATCAAATAGAAACGTAATTAATCTTACTATAAACATCAACGAAAGTACTGTAGATACATATATGGTAAATATTCAATTCAATTACGCGTATATTAAAATGACCGCGTTCGTACTGAAAAGGCATCCGTGAAGAATAATCAGACAAAAACTAAAAAAAAAAATTCATTTGCATGTTGCCTGCAGTGGAATTCGAACCCGACCGTCTCCGGATATCAACAACTTGTGGGCAAGCATCTTTGCGCACTTAGCTACACCCAGGCATATAAATTTGCTTTCAAATGTTGAATATCCATCAACACCACAGCACGCGATTTATACTATGTATGTATGTGTGTGTTGTCACCGCTCTCAGAGCGGCGCTCTGCATGCTTGGGGTGCGTACCCTGTAGGGAAACCCCGAACTGGTGAACCAAACTTGTAGTTCCGTACTAGATCTTTATCGCCAAAAACGAACCAGTCCGATAGTAACTGGATCGCCACCAGTCCAAAAGCAGCGATATGTGGTACTTTTAAAAAACAATTTTAGAAATGTATATCTAAAATGACGAATTTAGAACTGGTTCAAAACTATAGAAAAAGGGATGCAGAACGAACTAGATCTTATCTGGCGAATTTTGAACTTGTTCGAAACTACTGAAGAAGGGATGCAGCGGGGGGCTTGTTTACTTTAAATAGACTTTTGCTTGGCAGGTTTTTCGTTCAAATACGCTTTCAGTCTGCACGTCGCAGATGCTTTTTCATAGTTTGGTAATACAAAACTAATATTTGTGTTAACATCTTAACATTTTGGGACCTTCTGGAATATAACCAATAACAGTCTGCACCTCTGCAAATTCAGCTACAGCCAAAGGTATGTAAACGTGTTTTCAAATGCACAATTTAATTTCCATTCATTCAAAGAAATTTGATTTCAGATTGAAAATACATTTCTCTGCAAATAATTAAAAATTGCTATAATGGTAACCCAAAAAGAAAACATCTTGTTACTTTTTTCGTGCGAAACTATAGAAAATGGGGTGCAAAGCGAACTAGATCCCATATGTGGAATTTAGGACTGGTTCTAAACTATAGAAAAGGTAATGCAGCGGGGGACAATTTCCAATTCCTATGACATCGCTGTGTTAAATTCGCCAGTTGTTTGCATGCAAAAGAGATTTATGGCGAACTAGTAGTGGTTCTAAATGTGCTAGAAGCGCACCAGTTCAAAAATAGAGATTTTCCCCATAGGGTATGTACACTTACATATACATACTCAGATGTGAACAGTCAAATACGTGCGTAATAAATTTTGTATGAAAATATTATTTTTAAATACGAACATTTTTAAACGATAATCAAATATAAAGTATTCATTTTTACTATGCATTATTTCCCTCAGTTTATTTCTTTTTTTTATTTAATAATTAATATTTTTTTATAATGTGTAGCTCAGTATACATATAACACCACGCGATAGTAAATTTTAAACACAAATATCAATATATTCGCGAAACCATGGGCCAAATAGTGTAAAATTGCGTTTTTAGTTTTTCACTCTGACGTCAGTAATTCAAAAATGATTCAAAAAATTCAGAGAAATGTGCTTAGAGAAGAGTATGGGTATCAAATTAAAGAGAAACCGTGTAGAATTTAAAAAGATTTAAGTTTTTGGTGCAGCAGGACTGGTAAGTACTGAAAATGTCTTTTTAAAATTTTATCTTTGAAATTTCGCAATATTTGTTTATGAAAAAATTATAAATTAAGGACTTATATAAAGTTCGAATTGCGTCCTTCTATTTGTATCACCTTAAAAAATTACCTACTCGTCCTTGTGAATCCAAAAAAAATTTAATTTTTCTAAATTCTAAAGAAATTTCCTCTCGCATGTGGTACTCAAAATTTTATTCTACATTGCATTGAATCCTTTGAATAATTTTTGGAATCAATCATATCTTTGAAATTACAAAGTCCTTTAAAATAAATGCTGACCACAGAGAGAAAAAATAAAAACCCCACTTAAAATAAAAAAGTAGGTTTCGAACCCATTTATTTATTATTTATTTTATGGTAGGAGAGCTTCTCAACAATATAGAAGCAATTTTTTCGATTTAAGCTGTTGAAAATAATGAATATCTAGATCCCGGGACTTATCTTGGGATTGTAATAACGACATCCCGAAAATCCCGGGATCGGAAAAAGCTGAAAAATTGACATCCCTAGTATATATATATATAAGTAAATAAATAAATTTAAGCAATTGTGTATCATGTGTAATGAGCTTCTGCACCGTGCAAGGGCTTTGCAAGACTCAGAGAATACCCCTATTGTAAATTCTGGGTAAATGCATTTGAAATGATTCTTGCCTAAATGAATGCGGGTTAATTAACTTATTCAAAGTATGTTTACTCTTTGTCACCAAATAAACACTATATTTAACTAGACAAATATGAGTATAGCTTATATTATCAAAAAATGTCACTTAGACCCTTATGATTCTAAAGAGCCTGTCAGACGTGGCAATATTTCCGTCTTTCGCACGCAATTCGCTGTCAAATTGAGAAAGAGAAATTTTATTTCGATGTGTGAACAGCCAGAAAGATCTTTCTGTCACTTTTCAGAAATCAGTTTCAGCAATAAAAGTTGCAAGGTGTGACTGCAACTGCAAGAGCGAAAATCGATTTCGGAAATATATTTCAACTTGCTCGTGCTGCACTAGCAATTTTTATTTCTTCTGCAAGTGTTGCCGTGTGGCCCTGATCGTGAATTTGTGTAAAATGATAAAAAATATTGTTGAATTAAATATCAAAAATGCTTGAAATATATTATTTTGCTTAATATACTTAATCGTAAAATTTTGGTTTTCACGGCAAATATGTTAATTATAACCTATATTTTCTCGCTTTTACAAGAGAAATAGCAAACAAACGACAACCCCACCGCCCATGGTTGCATTTTAGTATCGAGAAAGATTGCCAGAAACTCATTCGCTGTGTGAACAGCCAAAAAGCGATTTCAGAAATTTTTCCTGCAATTCGCCGTTCGGAAATAAAAACCTCTTTCGAAAGTCACTTTCCATGCAAGGTGTGACTGCTCATGCAACTGATTTCTCAATTTGACAGCCTTTCCGAAATTTATTGCATCGAAATATATTGCCACGTCTGACACGCTCTTAACCCCTTCAATTATAAAGATTTTTAATTTATCAAGTACATAGAATGAGGCTGTTAGTCGAAGTTTGTATGAAGTAGAGAAGGAAGAAAGTATTTGTATAAATAAGTAGAAGCTTTTAACCAACTTAAATAGAAAACCAATCAAAATATACACAGCTCTGCATTTCCAAATTGTACCAAAAAGGTCTATGTGGTGTTAATGTACTTTTTGGTTTCAAATTGTACCAAAACAGCACAGTTGTTGCAAGTTCCAACTATATCATCACTGGGCTGATGTGCAACTAACAGGTCTATTCTGCGCTGGTAACATAAATTTTGTAACCGGTAATTAAAGTGGCTGTCAATTTTTAAACCTTTTTCGCATTCTGTGCTCTCTTGTAACCGGTAAATTTGGTTACCATCTCATAAGCTGGTAACAAAATATTGCCTCGTGAAATATGCAATACAGGAATTTCCACAAATCTTCATAGCTGAGTTGCTGAATATTTTCACTGCATTACCAACGTACTTAGAATCGCGGTGACAAGAAGTGGTTACATTTTTTTGTAATAAAATTTTCCGGTATTCCTTACTTGCTGCCTCTATTAGCGTACAGCCGTCGCAGGAGATCTGTCAGTTTCATCGCAAGCGAAATGTTCATCGCAGAGAAATTTTTGTACTTGGGCATTTCATCGCAGAAGATTTCATCTCAAAATGTGCTTATGAGTACATTCCACATGACAAAAATTACTTTATTTTCAAAATTACCTCACTCCAGGGGCGCACCCAGGAATATATTTTGGGAGGGGTTTATACTTCTGAAAATTCGCTTCAGATAAAATGATCACTCAAGTACATTTATGCAAGTTTTATGTACAGTATGTAATAAATAAATAAACTTTTTGAAGTTTCATAAATTGCATTTATTTACATAAAATTAGCAAAAAACTCAAACATTTGTAACCGACTTCGAAAAAGGGGTAGGTTATCAATTCGTCGGAATAGTATGCTAACGCATAACTTTGGACCACGTGAACCGATTTCAATAATTCTTTTTTTTTATCGGAAAGATGGTACCTCAAAAAAATTCGCAAAATTTTTTTACGCGCCTTTTTTCTCCGTCAAAACACTATCGCGCCTTTATTCGTGTGTAGTGACGATATATTTTATAGAAAAGCACAACTTTATAAAAATTCAAAGTTTAAACAAGCTGTGAAACTAACTACTTGACAGCTCATCACCTTTAGCATTTTCTGTGTGGCTGCACAAAATCCTGCAAATTGCAGTAAAGCTTCTTCTCCCATTGGAAAATACACCTGACCAAAGGCTCAACAAATAACGTGTGCTAAGAACCGAACCAGTTTTGCACCGAACTGTGTACAATTAATTTGCGTTATGAGTTGAACCATTAGGTGACAATTGTACCATTTCGACCTTCTCGCTTTTCCAATTAGCTTGAACCACACAACCGTCTTTACTCCAATGGGAGTATGTATGCGTTGTGTTTAAAAGATAAGAACCCAAACCTAGTTTTATAGGTATTTACATATTTAAAAAATTTGTTTAATCAAATTCATAGGGTCTTATCAATGAGCTGCGTGTGTTGAAGGAACAAAATCAACGTCTACTCGATGACAATCAGGAATTACGCGACCTATGCTGCTTTCTTGACGACGATCGACAGAAAGGTAGAAAACTCGCAAGAGAATGGCAACGCTTCGGAAGATATACGGCCAGTGTGATGAGACAGGAAGTGGCAGCCTATCAGGTAGGTTCGATGCAAAGTAAATTATAAAAAAAAAAAACAATACTATTTGTACTCCAACTAAAGCACAAATTACGTCAACTCGACGATAAACAACAAGAATTGATTACCGATAATCTGGAGTTGAAGGAATTGTGCCTATATTTGGATGAAGAACGTACACATATTGCGGCGAATGCACTTTGCGCCAATTGTGGTGCCTCAGTGCGCAATCCATTACGCGATGATGGTGATGGCAGTAGTTCCAGCACAAATGCGGAGGAAACTCTTTCTGCGTTACGAAATTATGAGCGTCAAATGCCCGTAAGTATATATAGTATTTAGTATTTGTGTTTTAACTATTGTACATATGCATGTTTGCTTTTAAAAACTGGGAAATGCAGAAAAAAATATTTTTATTAAAAGATAGGGTGGAGGCTAGTTTACGAAAATAAACTACATAAGGAAATGATAGTTAGATCCCCGCACCTTGATACATTGTACTATCGTAGACATAGACCATGTGTATACATATTTTGTATATTTTGTATTTGTATTTCGTTGGACCCACCCTCATGTCAATAGGTTTGTTCGTCGAAAATCCAGCAATAATTATCCAACACTGAAAATATCAGAGAGTAAGAAAAAATTCTCTCAAGTTCTCCCTCAAGTTGAGAAACTTGCAAATTTCTGCACGAACGCAAATTTCCAGGAATTTGTAAGTTTCCCTGCCAGCTGGTGTCCTTGTTGCATTTCAAACATAAATTTTTATAGAATTTTTATAATTCTTTCAGATGGACAGAAACAGGATATACAGGTATATTTCTTGTTGTTCTGACTTTCTTTAACATACATTTCAATTTCTTTATCGCACTAGCTGTCGGGTTTCTTAAATCGACTCTGATTGCAATTGCATGCCGATTGCGAATATAATTTTTTTTCAGCCGAGTTAAGTTCAAATCATTGGAACAAGTATTTACTTCCTTTTTTCATAAAAAAATCGCTCGTGTTTAAACATTTTTAAATTTAACGAACTTATTTATTCAAATTATCGTAGACAAAAATGCTACCATGTGCCACATTCTTATGATTTTCGTGATTTCAAATTCTTGCTGGCTAAAGTTTTTCCCGCAAGAATTTGCAACTTCCCTCAGGAAAACTGTCACTTTGCGCTCTCTGTTTGTAAGTGATGGACACTATTTTTTGGTCTGCACAAACGCGATTTGGGCAAAAATCATAATTTCACAAGATTTTCTTGCAACACTTAACCAACGGTATTAGCCTGCATTCTTTATTCCTCTGCCTTAGGGCCTGTCTCCACAGGAAAAAGTTTTTGCCTACCAACTGCCATTTTTATTGCCCGACATAAATTTTATCAGAGGCAATATTTGTGCGTAGGCATTTTTTATCTTGATAAAAGCAAGATGGCTATTTTTGCCGGATTTAATCACTTAAAAAATTGTAAAAATATACTATTTCACACCCAAATACGTGATAACAAATATTTTAATAGAAAAAAGCTCAATTTTTGCTTTTATATTAAAATATTAATAATGTTGCCGCCACGAAGTTATCGCGCATATGAAAATGTAGCTCTCAAAGTACCAAATTGCTGGCAATATTTATCAAGACATAAGCTCTGATATCTATTGCTTGCCAAGAGCAATATGGAGTCTCCATTAGCAAAATTTTGCCTGACTACTTTATCAAGATAAAAACTTTTGCCTGTGGAGACAGCAAGTTATTCAATGGGTTAACATTCACCTTAACAAGCGATTCCACCTTGAATTTGTGTATTTCCTACAAAAAATCTAATGTAATCCTATAACACGTGTGTCTACTTTCAATTTCTCCACACATCTAGGATTCCACACTACGCACAACGCTTAGTGATCAAACGGTTCAGTATGTAAGATCGTTGGAACGGCGTATACGACAATTGGAAGAGGAACGTGTGGGTACTACGACACCAACAGCCAATATCATAGTTTCACAGCATTCCCAACCTCAGGCGCAAACGCAATCGCAACCCCAACAACAGCAGCAACAACAGCAACAGCAACAGCAGCAGCAACAACAATCGGCACAAAATGCGCTCATCGATCCGATTTCGAGTCGCCCCGAAGCTGTGGTACGTGCACTCCAGGTACTCGAAGTACGTGAACAATTGGAACGAGATCGTCTCAGTGGACTCATTGAAAATTCAAGAGACCAAATGGATGACGGCGAGAAGGCTTTGGTGCGAGAAATGTGTAATGTGGTATGGCGTAAATTGGAAAGTAATGTTCCAAACGTTTCAAGTAGTATGTAGTAGAGTAGAAATTACGAAAAACAAAATATTTCCAACTTTAATCATTAAATGAAATACTAATTTACACTTTTACATTTGCATAGATTTGTATTTATATACTTGTGGTAATCCTTACGGACAAGTAGATTCAAAGCATTTTTTCAACATCACAAATATATATTTTAATATTTATACATACCTACATACATACTACATAAACATTCGGACATTAAATACATATATTTAAAATCAAATAATAAAGCGTGTTTTCAAAAGATATGCCTACCATCAAAAACCTTTTTTTTATAAAATAAATCATGCTGCCCGTAAAAACATATATTTAATACTTGCGCCGGGTATTTAATGTTCGACTCCGCCCGAACTTAGACTTTCTTACTTGTTTTAAGATGTAGTGGTCCATATAATAACAGAATTGCGATATTTTGACCGGTTTTGGCATTTGGCACTTGTCTTTTGTTTATTGAATGTTTATTATTTTTTTTTATAAAAGTCTAGCTGCATACCAGCAAACACCATTCAGACTTCAAACTTTGTACAAAAATTACCGCTTATATTCACCAAAATTTCAAACCTTTTTTAATCAGATATTTGGTATGCAGTTTTGTAGAGAATTTCTATTCTATGTAGTATAATGAAGTGTAAGTTTCAAGCTGCTATAAAATCCCGTTAATTTTTGTTCCTTACTATTGTTACTATTTGTGTCCTCCAAATAAAAGAAAATTGTCGAACATACTTTTGTATGGAAAAAACGTGAAACACCTTCAACCAAAAAAAAAATCATTTTTATAAGCTGTCTGCAAATTCCAAATAATCGGCAAAGGATCGGCGAAAAAAAGCCGACCCCTATGCCGATGCTCAACTTTGTGCCGATACTAGCCGATGCCGATGCCGATTAATCGGTCGGACTCTAATAAAGAGTACGTTTCGCGTATGTCATAATCCGAAAAATGTTTTTTACGTAGCGTAATACAACGTCGTATTCGAATTCGATTAAAGAATGATTAGAAAAACTGCTGGGCTCGAAACGCCACATACGATATCGTACTATTCGTCACGTAAAAACATATTTTTCGGATTATGACATACGTGAACGTACTATTTGTCCCATTCAGCTTATACTGCCTGACGTATCACGTAATTTTCTTTCGTATCGTTTTCGATACGTGAACGGATGTTACGATTCGAGCCCAGTACACATTAGAAATCAATTAGAATTCGACGTTAGATATCGAGAACTAAGTCCCATTATTGTAGAGGATTCTATAGTTCTCAACAGTCTCTCTACTCATCTTTTAACCATCTACCTTAGAGAAACACATTAGAATTCGCATCGCTTTCTTATCGTTATCTGGCCTAAATGTTTGTTGGGTAGCGTCAATTCTTCAAAACACCACATGGTGGTATTATATCGGGCTTGGGAGTACCACTTATTTACTACAAACATCTTCACTGTTCAACATACGCATTTCCTTGAAAACTAATCTTCGAGAGGAACCCTGAGATAAGGTAAAAGGTTCATATAGAAAATAAATAACACACATGTTTAGCAATTGGTTTATAACATACATTTGTACAAATCTTCTGTTGAGCATATACCATATTTTATTGAAAAAATAATAATTTTAACTTTGGTAACAATCGCTTTACAACGGTTACGTACACCTGTTATTAAACACGAGTTTGAACATATTCAAAAGCTGTGTACGGTATACATAAATACACATTGCAGACAAGTATTTACAAGAAAAAACTAAAAAAATCATATATACATGCTTCGCCTTAAATTATCAGTGCTTTCGTCAAACAGATTCCACATTACGCTACTGCTCATCTTTAGTAACACAGCGAATATGTCTCTTTAATCCTGATATGCGACAATTATTTGTGCTAGACATATAGATAGGCGACAGACTTGGTGGTTTCGTCAAAGAGATTCCACATTACGTTACTGCTCATCTTTAGTAGCACTGTGGGAATGTCTCTTTAATCCTGATATGCGACAATTATTTGTGCTCGACATATAAATAGGCGAAAGACTGGGTGGTTTGCCATACATACGCAGCCGTTCAATACGCTGTCTTGGTGTAGGTTTCGATTCCATTTTAGTTACATTACTACAAGATGAATTAGATAATCTACTAGCGTTCAACGATGATGGGCTTTTATTTAAAGTTTCATTATCCCAGTCGATGCGTTTTAATGATGCTTCCTTTATTGGCGTAGTTGTTTCTGTTGTTGTTGTTGGAGAAGCTGCTTCCAACTCTGCTCGCTTACTGGCTCGTGTACGCATGCGTGTTTCTTGTTGTAATGGCGGATGTGGCGTACTGGTGCTCACGCAAGCCGAAGCAAAAAACTCTCGAAGGTTTGGTGTTTTGGGTGGTGATTTGAGCTCAGCAATATTGCTTATTTTCGTTGGAGTTTTTACACCAACACTTTCATCCTTCACCTCGTTAGGTCGTTGAATAATTTTTGCATTCGATTTTTTCCGTTTATTCAAAGAGAGTAGATTCTTGCGCGCTATTATACCACGACTAGCTACGTAATCGGGCGGGGTTTTTAGAGCCAATTCACTCAAGCTGGAACGTGTAACTGATTGTTGTATATGAGCTAGAGGACTTCGTTGAAGGCCAACAGATTTACAAATTAGTTTTGGTGTATGTTGGGGGGAAGATGAAAGCTCCTCACCGTTTGGTACAAGATCTATGTCATCGCGTTTTCTTTTGCTCGAAACATTTAATAGTGATTCCTGCTCAACTTTAGATACATCATCCGCGTCAAGTAGTGGCCATTCAGAAAACACCACGTTTTCCAACGTTTCGGCTTTGGAAGCGTTTTCTGAATTTGTCAAACTTGCTGCCGATGGTAGCGCGTCACTTAGTTTTGGCAAGTTCTCAAGAATAGCGGCAGCTTTTTGTTTAGCTAATTCTGACACCAAAATTGGTTTTTTAGATGCCGTTGAAAATCCAGGAAGACCCTCGTTACTTGTGGTACTAGCCTTTACTTCAGTTTGTGCTTCCTCACCCTCCATGGGCCACTCACTGAATTGCATGTTTCCTATGCACTCTTCGGGGATATGGTCAACATTTTCATAAGGCACATCTTGCATGATCACTGCAGCACGCTTTTGTGCTTCTTCAGATATACGTATAGCTTTGCTAGAAGCAGTTCGAAAGCCTGCACATGATATGGAAGTGTTCGGCGCGTTTGTTGCAGCTTCATTGTTCGTTTCTACAATTACATTTAATTCCGGTAGATGCTCTAATATCTTTAAGGCACGTTCTTGTGCTTCCTTAGATATTTTTATTGCTTTGCTTGAAGCAGTTGTAAATCCTATAAACGATTCTTTTTCTATTGCTGCCCTGGTCAAGGAAGTGCGCTCATGCTGTAATGGCGGCAGCTGTTCAAGGATTTTGGCAGCATGCTGTTTTGCTTCGCTTGAAATCGTAATTTTCTTATTTGACGCCGTACAGAAACCAACCAAACTTGGCATTTCCTTTTTTTCTATTGTCAATCCACCATCTAAATTAGTGGAAGGGTTGGTGCGATTCTCCGTGGATGTATCCTGTGAGGATTCTGAAGTTTTATCAACGATTTTTTCTGCTACGTGTTTCGAAATTGTTATAGTTTGATTTAGAGCAAGCTGAGGCTCTTCTCTTTCATCATTCATAGTGAAGTCATCTGTGCAACTAGTGTTTGTCGGTAGCGGGGGCAGCTCTTGCAATATTTCGTTTGCACGAGCTTTTGCTTCCATAGATATTTCAACTGTTTTATTGGACGCGGTACGAAAGCATGTTGCTGAATCTGCATTCAACTCCAGTTTATACATTAATTCGTCGGAGTTTCCTTCGTACAATTTTGACGTTGAAACTGCATCTAAGGCTTCTTCCATATCGAAATTTGCAAAAAAATCACACTCATCATTCCATTCGTCGTCCTCGTTCAAACTATCTACTACATGTACTATGAAATAAATAGAATATAAAAATTATTTAATCAATAATTAATTTCATTTCCAAACATACCTTGACTTCGAACAATATCACAGTTTACTGCTGATATGGGTTTCATACCGTCGCTAGTCTCTTCATCCTCACTTGGAAATCCCTTAAAATCCTCTTCAGCTGAAATATGCCCACCATGACTGGTCAAACATTGTTTATTTATTTCCTCCGATCCATCTTTCTGAAAATTGTTAGTATTTGCCTTCATTGCTGTGTAATATATTTCTGAACTTTTATCTGCAACGGCTTGCACCACATTTTGGCCTTTATTTTGAACTAACTCTAGCGACTTCATTTCTTCACAAGTCTCTGGTTTTCTATCCACTCCACCCGACAATTCCGAAAAGTAGGCACTCAAATTTTGTAAGTTCTCGCACAGCTTTTGGGAATGCTGCAAATAGACGCCTTCTTCGGAAACTGCTTCTAGCCGTAGTTGAGTGTGATCTTCTTGCACCGATAGATCACTGTCATTGCTCAGTAAATCATCATCCATGACACAATGCTTCTCTCTATCGGGTGATTGGACATATTGCTCAGCAATATTTTTACGCGAAAATTTATGGTCTTGTCGACGTCTGCTATAAGTGCGCAGAGGTTCATTAGCAAATCTAAAATGAAAACTACTTTCTTCCGACGACTGCTGGGGCTCTGGCGATGCAGGCGAACTACAAAAATCTTCCAATATTAAGTCTACGATAGATTTTGGTTTTTGCCTCGAATCTGGTGTCACCGGCACATCAATATCTCCAGTTCTTTCTGGCTTAAATTTCGCTTTTTCTGTATTTTTTTCGGTTTCCTCACATACTTGCAACAGCTCTGAATCAGTGATTTCAAATACGTCTTTTGTGCTGCTTTTAGAAATAGTGTTATTTTCTATGGCGAATTTAGGAGGTTGAAACAACAAATTATTGCACGGTTCGAAGCCCTGCGTAGCTACAAAGCTGGTTGAGTTTCGCGAAAGCGGTCGGAAACGATCAGCAAGAAGGAGCAAACGTTGCTCTGCAAATGGATCATAATTGGCATCTATTTGGAATCGTGGTTTTTCAACGGGATATTGAAGGCATTGTGCTTTTGTATTATCTTCCTCACATTCCTCCGAGTCATACATTACCAAAAGTGTACAGGATAGATCATCTTGAATGGTTTCATCAATATTCGAAGCAGTCTTTTGATCGCTACA